GAATAGCACTTTGGGAGGCCAAGGCAGGTGTATTGCCTGAGCTCACGATTCGAGACCAGCCTGAGCCAGAGCCAGACTCTGTCTCTAAAAATAGCTGGGCATTGTGCTGGTGCCTACAATACCAGCTACTCGGAGGCTGAGGCAAGAGAATTGCTTGAGCCCAAGAGTTTGAGGTTGCTGTGACCTTTGATGCCAATGCACTCTACCAAGGGTGACAAAGTGAGACTCTGTTTCAAAAAAAAAAAAAATTGCCCTACCAGAAAATATATTTATATGAAAGTTCCTAAATGTGGAAAACATAAAATAACACCTGGGAACCTTGGCATGGAAAGGTAGGTCAGGAGTTTAATGGAAAGACCAAAATGATTATACAGATTGAGTATCCCTTATCCAAAATATTTGGGATTAAGTGCTTGGAATTTCAGACCTGTTCAGATTTTGGAATACCTGCATATATATGAGGTAATTTGGGGATAGAACCCAAATCAAATGACCAAAATTCACTTGTTTTGTACACACCTTGTATACATAAAGCCTGAAGGTAAATTTCTACATTATTTTAAATTTATACATGAAACAAGTTTATGTTAAGTATGTATGTGTGAAGTTTCCACTTGTTGCATCATATCAGCACTCAAAAAAAGTTTCAGATTTTCTAGTATTCTGAGTTTTGGATTTTCAGATTAGGCATGCTCAATTTATACTAATACAAAGAAGGTTCAAAGGTTTGAAAAAGAAGCTGGTATAGTCAGACACACTTCTGAGACCCTCTGCTCTAGAAAAGGACTCCTAAAAGTTGTAGCCAAGTTGGCTCCTAACATACATACATATTAAAATATACGTGTGTGTGTGTGTGTGTATAGTGTTGTTTGGGGTTTTTTTTTGTTTGTTTGGTTTTTGAGACATTATCTTAGTCTATAGAGTACTATGGCATAACAGCTCACAGCAGCCTCAAACTCTCTGGCTTGAGTGATCCTCTTGCCTCACTGCCAAGTAGCTGAAACTATAGGTGTGCATCATTATGCCCAGGTAGTTTTTCTTGCAGTAAAGATGGGGTCTCACTCTTGCTCAGGCTGGTCTTGAACTCCTGAGCTCAAGCAATTCACCATCTTTAGCCTCCCAGAGTGCTAGAATTATAGGCATGAGTCACCATGCCTGGCCTACTATATTCTTTAAAGCACACAAAATGATGTATAGTCCTTTCTTTTTT